TAGGGCCATTAGGTAATGATTGGGAAAACTAAGAACCCAGGATGGCTGCTCATCGGAGGGCCAGTCATCTCACAGACACTTTGTGACAAATGTCCAACAGTTTGTGCACTGAGACGGATAAATGGACCGTGCAGTAAGGAGGTGTGATTTCCACTGGAGGAGATTGATTGAGGACATGGGGTAATATTAGCATTTATATGTTGATTGAAAGTGTCACTCTGGTGATAGATGGGGCATGCCTGCGCATAAAGAGGGAAAGAAAAAGCATTTTCTCCAATGATGGGTGACCTCATCGTTCACATTTTGACAAGCACAGGATAGAGCCTCATGGCGTCCTAAAAGTTTTACCTAATTAAGGAAAAATTCAGAGTGTTAAAGCACTCAACTGTTGAAAACTGTGCCAAGATGTGGGTCATATTTAAAATCATTGTTTCAGCCACCATTAAATATTAAAATACTTTATAAAAATCTAGGGCGTTAGGACAGATACATTGCAGAGGAAAATGACGGGGCTGTAGGAGTTGGGTGTGGGGGAAGTGGAAGAACGCCGGCTGGAGCTCAGGGACTGGGTGTTCCGTGGTAGAGCCGGCTGCCCGAGTTCCCCAACCCTCTGCTTTCTCATCTGTAAACTGGATATGTTTCCACCTGAAGGATGTCACACATTGCGAATGTGATGGGCTGGAGTGACACGTGAGAAGAGAATACCTTGGGACCTTACAGCAGATTAAAATCTTATTTTTTTCAGGGTTGGCAAATATCTCTGGGTAGACGTTTCACAGGCAACGGGGTCTAAGAGCCGGGCGGAAGTTCTTTCTGTGTCACACAACATCGGTTTGACTTCAGGTTTCTGTGGCCTCGATTTCTTCATGTCCTCTACGAGGACACAAGCCCCCCTTGCTATTGATCCCTGTAGCCAAGGGTAACGGTTTCGAAACAACTTCTGTGACCCTCCTCACTTTGCCTTTAAGCTTCCCTGAATCCCAGCCTCTCTGGATAGCCCTGTCATCTCCTATAGCACCTATGTCCCAGCTTGCAATCGCCTACATAGTCCCAGATAAACTTTGGGAGAGCCTGTCTCTGTCATTGTATGAGGCTGACACTCCCTCACCCAGCGTATCAGACTGTTCGTTCCACACTGTTTCCAGCACAGAGAGCCAGCAGGCACCCCCTCCTCTGCAGGCGGAAACGCGTCAGCCCATGACCTACGTGGGAACACGGGTGAGGAGCGCAGGGAGGGATCCATACAGGGCGTCTCAGGCTTAGAAACTCAACACAGGTATTTTATTCAAACAAAATATCAAAATGTGATTTTGATCAGCTCTTGTTACAAATCTATAATTCTTTTTTTTTTTTTTTTTTTTTGAGACGGAGTCTCGCTCTGTCGCCCAGGCTGGAGTGCAGTGGCTGGATCTCAGCTCACTGCAAGCTCCGCCCCCCGGGTTCCCGCCATTCTCCTGCCTCAGCCTCCCGAGTAGCTGGGACTACAGGCGCCCGCCACCTCGCCCGGCTAGTTTTTTGTATTTTTTTTTTTTGGTAGAGACGGGGTTTCACTGTGTTAGCCAGGATGGTCTCGATCTCCTGACCTCGTGATCCGCCCGTCTCGGCCTCCCAAAGTGCTGGGATTACAGGCTTGAGCCACTGCGACCGGCCACAAATCTGTAATTCAAGATAGCCTTGCTGGTAATACTTGGTTAGAAAATTAACCAGACCAGAGATATCATTGAATTGAAGATGTTCAGTGAAATGCCCACAGGATGCCTGTTTATTCAGTATCTGGATCACGACAGAATGGACTGAGTATTGTTTCAGAAGCTTTAATTTCATTCCTGGCTTTCAATACTACTCATTGAGTTTTAGTGTGGAATTTAGTGTCATGACTGATTTCACTGCTAGCTAGTACTTTCTTTTCTTTTCTTTTCTTTTGAGACAGACTTTCACTCTTGTTGCGCAGGCTGGAGTGCAGTGGTACAATCTCGGCTCACTGTAACCTCCACCTCCCGGGTTCAAGTGATTCTTGTGCCTTAGCCTCCTGAGTAGCTGTGATTACAGGCACCAGGCACCTGCCACCATGGCTGGCTAATGTTGTTTTTTTTTTTTTGGTAGGGACAGCGTTTCACCATGTTGGCCAGGCTGATGTCAAACTCCTGACCTCAGGTGATCCATCCACCTCGGCCTCCCAAAGTGCTGGGATTACGGGCGTGATCCACCATTCCACCATGCCTGGCCACTGCTAGTACTTTCAAAGATTATGGAGTGTAACTTCAACTTATGATACCAAAAATTATTGATGTTGTTTTGAATGCCTGCATTATTACTGGTAGCTGTTTGGCTTCTTATTTCTGTGCATTGTGCTATTACTGATACATCTTGGGAACTTGTAAAGCAATTTTCAATTTGTATGTATAAAACCAAAACCCTGGCCGGGCGCGGTGACTCACGCCTGTAATCCCAGCACTTTAGGAGGCCGAGACCATCCTGGCTAACACGGTGAAACCCCATCTCTACTAAAAATACAAAAAAAAAAATTAGCCAGGCATGGTGGCAGGCGCCTGTAGTCCCAGCTACTCAGGAGGCTGAGGCGGGAGAATGGAGTGAACCCGGGAGGTGGAGCTTGCAGTGAGCCCACATTGTGCCACTGTACTCCAGCCTGGGCGACAGAGATTCTGTCTTGAAAAAAATAAAATAAACCCAAACCCTGAAGCATGAGTGATATGGTCATTATGGCTCTTTTTCTCCAAAAGTCCCTTCAAAAGTTCAGTAATTACTATTTGGAAACACATACATACATTAAATTACAATGTGCGCTAAGTTTGCAAGAACCTTGGGTTTCTTCTAGAAAGCTACTTGGTTTTTTTCCTCTGACAGGGATAAGTCAAAATGAGTAAAAGATTTTAAGTACAGTCTCACGCTTTGGGTATGACTGGTGAATCCAGCTTGAGTTAAAGTTTAACACAAGGGCTAGGCAGGCCCTGGGTTCCACTCACGACCAGAGTGAGGGATGCGGGTTTCCCAGTGTAATGACCCTCTGTGAAACTACCTAAAGACTATGAAGCTGTGGCAGGAGAGTACACCTCAACATCCTGAACATTTTGCTCATCACAACTTGAAATGATCAAAATAATTAGTGTTGTAGCTGTCAGTGTTAAGATTCCTTCACATGCAAAGGAAGGAGCTTAATTCAAATTGGAATGAAGGAAAGGCGAAGCCTTTGGTTGCAAAGCCTTTGGTTGCAGTCAGTAGGAGGTTGGGGGCAGCTCCCAGCATGTTGGTACCCAGTGTCCCCCAATGCTCTTTGTGTGTCCCTGCGTGGGGTGTTCCTCTGTGCTGAATTCCTCTTCCGACAGGCTGGCTCGCTGGCTGTCCACTTGGCGATAGTGGTGATAGAACAAGCTTCAGGTATTCACTTCTCACAGCTGGTCACACCAAAGTAGGCATCTTGGCCTCCCTCTCCCTGTCGTCTATACCAAGCTGCCCCTGGGCTCTGCCTGGTCCCCCTGGGTCCTATACCTGTCGCAAGAGAGGAGCGGTTTCTAAAAGAAAGGCCTGCAGAGAGGACCAGCAAGAGGCCGAGGGGATTCATGCTCTCAGGGAAGTTCGAAGTCATTTTTGAGATGTCACGTCATTGAGTTATAAAGAAAAGCAGTTCAGAAAAGCTGAGATGGATATTACTGGGGAGGGAGGGCTTTACCCGGTGATGTGTGACCTCCACCCCTGCCTGGGGCCCCATTCTCCACCCGCTCATTCTGCCATGGAATGAAAATGACCGAGATCCTGCCTTTTGAGAGCTTAAGGGAGCACCTCTGTGGGACTGACGGACCTTAGTTTGTGTTGCTGTTCTTGAAAATGATTTCTCTTTCTTTCTGGTGTCATCTAGGCAGTTTAGAATATGCTAGAATTTTGGTGAGATTTAGCAAATAGGATGTCAATCAATTAGCAGTCACCTTAAAAGAAATTTTGTTGTTCTTCATCTTATTGAATTTTGTTATGTGAACAAAGAAGAGAGACAACATTAGAAGAATGCACTTAGACCTTCTTTTCTACCGATGGAATGGGGTGGCGGGACGGCGAGATTCATATTTTACCATCAAAAACAGGAAGATGATTTTTTCCCCAGTAACTGAATAACTTCTAAAAACAGTTTCTTTAACTTCTGTGTCAGCTTTGGGGTTCAGCGTGGACTTTTCTGTTGAGTTGACACGAGGACTTTATGTGGGGCAGTTTGTGGAGAGAAGAGGAATCTTTTTTGGGTCATTTTTGCTTTTACATGACATTTGGTGTGTTTAACACGCAGAGGTGAGGATCCAGCAGTTCGTTTTAGTTTTTTTATTGGGTATGGGGCGGGGAAACGGGCATAACCGTCTCTCTAGGAATCTCTCCCTGGGGCACCCTTGCCTGCTGTCCCGTAGCCATGGGGACAGGGTGGGTGAACAAGGCCCCTCCTCGCTCCCCACCATGCTGTGCCCACCGCCTATTCCGCACCACACAGCAGGCGCTGTTCCTCCCAAACGCGGCCTTGGCATGAAGCCCACACGCACCCATACGGAAGGCACGCAGGCCTGGGACACAATGGCTAGTTCCGCCAACTCACACAGCACAGGGGTCTGCCGCGACGGGATCCACATCACAAAATCACCATAGGCGCTGGGCAGGTGGGGAAGACTGAGTCCTGGCCCGGATTACCAGGTGTGACTTAATCAAGACCCATCACTGATCAATGAGGATGCAAAATAAAGGAAGTGAGTATTAGCTCCCGTTAGGTGCAAGAAAACAAGTAAGTTACAATGTCAGCGTTGTAATAAAAAATACCGTATATTCATGTTTGTAACCAGTTTGGATCATATTACTCTGCCTTTTACTTCAAACCATATGTATTTCCTGTGTATTATTACTCTCTTGGAGGGACTTTCTTGGAGTTCACAAGGTCCAAACTTTGTTAAATATTTCTGTAACGTGTTCTTCCAACAATTATAATGAACACTTGATCTGATTTTCTCCTTCAGGAACTCGAGTTCCAGGACCTGACGGCTGTCCTGCACTGCATCCACTCCTTCATAGCAGCCAAGGTGGCCTCCGTGGACCCCGGCTTCATGGACAGTCAGAGTCTGGCCACCAAATACATGTACAGCAGCTAAGGGTTGTTTCTGTTGAGTGCTGAAAAATTAAATTATTTTCGTAAGAAATGATTCTTTCCTGCATAATATTGCAACTTTGTGTTGTTTTATAATGAGCCTATAGTTGTGATACCAATAAAACATGTCACTAGTTTCCAAAGATGGGTCCTCCTTGTTAAATCTGACATGGGGGATGCCTGGTCCCCTCTTCCCACGAGTCTCCCCTCAACGAGGAGCCCCAGCATCCCCCACACAAGTCTGTGGCTCAAACTCCAGTCCACCTGATGCGGTTCACGCCCCTAGCCCGCATCCCAGCAGCATGAGAACCGTGTGGGCATGGCACACGCCACTTCCCAAGTTGGCAAAACCCAGATTTATTTTCATAAAATATGTCGTCACAAATTCTGAGCAGGTACCACGTTTGTCCTCAGGAAGGAAAGGGTCTTCTTTGCAGTGGGGCTCTCACTTCCCTTCTCCTCCAGTGGGGATCAGAGTGACAGGATTATTTGAGAAACAGGCATTGGTCAAAATATGTGGGGAAAGGAAATCAACTTTAATTCCTTAATATTATAATCTTATTACATGTCAATCTTCATGCTTATAAATGTATCATACATTGAATAACATATATAAATGGGAATTTTAATTGTTTCCCTAATTCATCAAATATAGCATGCAGTTTAGTTTCCGTGTTTCTCATATTGTTTATGACTTCTAAGTAGGGATACTTTGTATTTTTGTTATTAATGGCAATTGACTGGAGTTACTTGAATTTTTTTTTTAGAGATAGGACTCTAGGTGGAAAAATAAGGATTAGGCACTTGCTTGTCAAGCCTTCAAATAAAGGACGAACATAAAACCATCAATCTACAAAGTATAGGAAAGTAAGAAAATAAACAGATGCCTGCTTCTGCAGTTCTGTTGAAAAGAAAATGTGGGCCAGGTGTGGTGGCTCCTGCATGTAATCCTAGCACTTTGGGAAGTTGAAGTGGGTAGGTCACTTGAGGTCAGGAGTTCAAGACTAGCCTGGTCAACATGGCAAAACCCTGTCTGTACTAAGAATACAAATATTAACTGGGCATGGTGGCAGACGCCTGTAATCCCAGCTACTCAGGAGGCTGAGGCAGAAGAATCGCTTGTACCTGAGGGGTGGATATTGCACTGAGCCGAGACTGCGTCTCTGCACTCTAGCCTGGGCAACAGAACAAGACTCCGTCTCACAAAAAAAAAAAAAAAAAGAGAGAGAGAGAGTACAGATGCTAAAGAAAGGTTCCATATTTCCATTTCATGAGGTGATGAAGATCTCAGCAAAAATCCACAGCTCCCCGCATTACACCCACCCCTTGTCTGTCTGACATTAGGAAGAGGGAAATATTTTAATATACCAAATATTTACAACCAATAGTTTTATGTGCTTGAAAGTATATCCTTTTTAGAAGATGTACATCTCTATATAATAAATATTGCGTGTACTATGGACATTTTGATGGCTTCTGTGGAAGACTCCAGCAAGGAGCAGAGTATTTCAAATGAATTTAAAGTAATATTCTGCCCCGTGAATGTGATTCATGGGGCATCAGACAGTATTTTTCGGTCTCAGTGTTCATTCTCTGGCTTTAACTCAAACTTCCTGTTAATATTAATAGCAATAGGAGTCAGAATTTTACAAAATATATAAAACCCAAAAAGGTAAAGGTAGAAATTTTCCTTTCACCAGTTTCCCTTCCATGTGGATATTTTGATCTGCAAAATGAACAGATGCTCATTTTCTTCCCTTTCGCCAAAAAGCCTAAACCCACCCAAAAATAGAACGTGTTCTTCTGCACCAAGGAGGGAAGAAGCTGGGAAGATTTTTGTTTTTGTAAAAAATAATTCTAAAAATTAACCTTTACTATATAATAATGAAAAAAATAAGATTTTCCCAGGAAGATTTGATACTAAAGTTTATTTTTATATTTGTATAGATATACAATTCTTTCACAAAAATGCACTATTTTTTAAAATTTAAAAACAGTAAAAGTATTTTTTTGTAAAAATGAGACAAATGACCCCATTCCCACAGGCCTTCCTCTTCACATCAGCTGGATCCCTGTGGGTGGCCACGTACAAGGCTGTAGAGATGCCCAGGCTGGGCAGTGAGGCCACAGGCCGGGCACCAGCCTCCTTCATCCTGGCAGTGTGTCAGGGCAGCGGCCCGTCATGATGGCACCTGGTCCATGGGGCAGACAGTCCCTTCATCATTGACGGCAACCTGGCCCATGGGGGCGGTGCCCCTCATGATTGACGGCACCTGGCCCATGGGGGCGGTGGCCCCTCATGATTGACGGCACCTGGCCCATGGGGGCGGTGGCCCCTCATGATTGACAGCACCTGGCCCACAGGGGAGGAATCCGTTCATGATCACACCCCTTTGAAACCGAGACCCTCAGTATCTCCTCCCACCAGGCCCTTACAAAGTGGGGCCCGGGGCCGGAAATTGTTTTATTTTTATTTGAGACACGTAGTTGATTCTAAGATCTCCTTAGCTTTGGGTTTTAATCAAAAGGTAATGGGGTCACCTGTAGATCTCCACGGCTAACATCTACTGAGAAGTCACCAGCTCACCGCCACTCCTAGGGTGCAGGCTCCGGCCTTCGGCTCCCATTTCCAGGTAAAGAAGCAGAGGGTCAAGGGGCCCAGCAAGGTGTCTGTAGCCCTGGAGCTGGCCAGGAGCCCAGGCCTCCTGCCACCCACCCGGGAGTCCTCACACCACAGGGCCCACCTCCCTCACTGAGCAGGGGACCCTCCGAACCCACAGCAGCCACGCCCGCCTGGGGAGTCCTCCTGGGGGGCCGATTTTGTCTTTGCCCCTCCTTGGAAAACAGTAGCCGTTATCTTGCAAACGTGGATCCGTCTTCCTTCTGCTCCATGTCTGTGCTTTCCATATCCCATGTGAACACCAAAAACAGAAAACGTTTGTGAATCTGATTTAATTTCCAATATGTGGGCATTTGACAGGATATTATTCTGAGCAGATAATTCTCATTGGTGATGTTGCTCTATGAATATTCATCCGGAAGTTTTCTTTACGTCTTTTAGAAGGAGGACTGGAAAATGCTCAGAATCCCAAAAGGCAAGGAAATGAAATTACAAATATCATGTCTTTTTTTTTTTTTTTTTTTATGGAGAACCATGCACCGAGTATGTCTTTCACTCAGATGTGTGTCTTGAATGCAGGCGTTGCTCGTACCGAGCACACGGGGTTTTCACAACGCTGAGCCAGGAGAAATGACTGAACTCTGGCAGGATGAAAAGCAGAGAAACCTTTAGAAAAGATCAGGTGAGACACAATTACAGCTCAAAGTTAGAGTCTCCAGCCACTGGATGCAAACAGATTTTTCAAGAGCAGAACTGGATTTGCAAAGCCCAGAGATTATTCTGCAGAAGGATAGGCTCTGTGGAAAAAAGAGATAGAAATTAACCTAGTGCTTTGGGAGGCCGAGACGGGCGGATCACGAGGTCGGGAGATCGAGACCATCCTGGCTAACACGGTGAAACCCCGTCTCTACTAAAAAATACAAAAAACTAGCCGGGCGAGGTGGCGGCGCCTGTAGTCCCAGCTACTCGGGAGGCTGAGGCAGGAGAATGGCATAAACCCGGGAGGCGGAGCTTGCAGTGAGTTGAGATCCGGCCACTGCACTCCAGCCCGGGCAACAGAGCGAGACTCCGTCTCTAAAAAAAAAAAAAAAAAGAAATTAACCTAGCGGTGGGTTGTGACAGAAGACAGTTAACACAGTGAGGTCCAGTTTTATTGAGAATGAGACAGCAAGTGGTTTTGAACATTAGGAATCATATTTTTAAATGACTCATGTGAACTTTATTTTTCTCATTTTATGGTCTGAATTTCAGTGAATTCCAAGAACATTTTAGTTATCAAAGGATAAAATATCTAACTAAATGAATTTCACTACAGAAGAAAATAAAACATTCCCAGCATATAAACAAGTTTCTCCAAATCTTACTTTCAGTGTTTAGTTGAACTCCGTGTGTTTGAATATGAGACACCAGTCAGCAAATGCCTTCTAACAATCGTCCAGTCACTGACACTGCCCAGGACCCGCTGTTTGCATTCTCAGCCTATTTTCATGTGTTTCTTGACTGTTTTCTTCCTCCAGGACTCCCCGCGTATCACAGCAGTGCCAGAGCAATCCTGGCAGTCAGCCGGAAAGCTAGTTTACCCCTCCGGGCCCATAGTTCATGGGAACTGATGTTCAGCTCCTCTGATAGCCTCTCATAAATGTACAACCATGAATCCTGCTCTGCCCTTGCTGGTGGAGGGACCATTTGATTGTTGTCCTTTCAGACAGATAAAAGTTGGGGCAGGATTTTTCAAAACAGATATAAGATGTAAAACATTTCCATGTTCTGTTTGCTCCTTTCAGTGTTTGGGACAAGAGATAGACAGGTGGAGAGTACATAACCCCTCCCCAACACCCGCAACCCCCGCAGGTTTCCAGCCTGCCTTGTAAATACTGTTGTCAGCACACAGGCTGTCAAAAGCAGAGGAGCCGAGGCTTGGAAGACTGTTGGCTTAGGAGTTGGGGGAACTCTATCCTTTCTGAGGTGACCACAAGCAAGTTTAAACCCGTGTGAAGAATGTACCGTGTTTGACTCTTTTGCTCATATATGGAAGAGAAAAAGTCACAATCCCTGTTCCCCACCCCCTCACAACCTCATTATGGGCATCAGGTGAGAAATCTGGGAGGAAGTTCTCAGCAAAGCAGGAAAAGCGGGTTTTCAGATTTGAGCCTGTGCCTGCCTACTCTAAGGGTGTCCTTATCCAGCATCCAGGTGCCTCCCGAAGTTATGAATGGAGTCCGTGCACACACGCTAGAAAAGCAGCAGGAAGCATTCACAGGCAGCCCCGTTTCCCTAAGGAAAAGCACTTCCTGTCTGTGAAAAAGGCCCCGATAGATGCGGGGAGTAGACATATATGTTCCTCATTTCAGGGAGGCGCTTGCAAGCACACCCTGTCACCGAGCTGGAGAAGTGCACATGGAAAACGCAGGTTTACGGTGGAAGAGTGAAGACATGCCTGGCACATTGTGAGGACCATGGCTAAGTCAGAGACAGGGAGGTGGGATATGCTGAAATACAGAATTAACAGTTTTTAAAGCCCTTAACAGGTTAAAACCCTGGGATAAACTAACACAATCTGTTTAGAGAAGAAAGTACTATAGTTGAATTTAAAAAAAAAAAAAAAAAAAGATTCAAGGGGAGCCCAGTCTCCCAAACAGTAGCTCTTGGGAGAAGCATGTGGAACATTTGGGTGAAAGTGTTTTTGATCCATTCAACAAACATTTGTAGAGCATTAACCCCAGGGCCAGGCTCTGTGACAGGTGCTGCAGCAGAGGAGCCAAGGA